AAGCATTATACCAAACTGTGTTAAAAAGAGTGTTTCTTTTGGAATTTTTGGAAGACAGCATAGTTTAAATTAGTGCTTCCTAGAGAGATTTTTTTTTTTTAAATCCTCTTTTAACAACCTCTCTACAGTTCAAATACTATAATCACTCAAATAATTCACAGTAACCACTTGGCACCCAGACTCACAGCCTGCTGGAAAGAAACAATTCCAGCAGTCTATGACAATGGCAGCTGTGATTAAGACTATCAAGGCTCATTTTGTTTTCTTTGCTCTTGTAAGTAATTCTCATATTTATACTATTACTCAAAATGTAGCAGCTCAATTCTCTCATTATTTTAAATCTAACTGGAAAATCAATTGTCTCTGTTGGTGGTTATGGGTTTGTTTTTTGAAAGCCCAACAGTAAGAAATTAGAAATAAGACAGTAGCTCAACTAATATTCTTTCATTAATTTAATAAACTGTCTTCATTAACTAACCAACATTTATTTAATATCTACCATGTACAAAAAATTCAAAAAGCGGGAATAAGCAATTAGAGACTCAAGGAGTTTACACTCTAGCAGTGAGTTGATAGAAATTATATACTTCACCAGCCCGCCAACATAGTGAGATCCCATCTCTACCCAAAAAAAAAAAAAAAAAAAAAAAAAATACAAAAAATGGCCAGGTGTGGTGGCTCACGCCTGTAATACCAGCACTTTGGGAGGCCCAGGCGGGTGGATTGTCTGAGGTCAGGAGTTAAAGACTAGCCTGGCCAACATGGTAAAACTCCATCTCTACTAAAAGTACAAAAATTAGCTGGGTGTGGTGGCATGTGCCTATAATCCCAGCTACTCGGGAGGCTGAGGCAGGAGTATCACTTGAACCCGGGAGGCGCAGGTTGCAGTGAGCAGAGATTGCACCATTGTACTACAGCCTAGGTGACAAGAGCGAAATTCCGTCTCAAAAAAAAGATACAAAAAATTAGCTGGGTGTGGTGGCAGGCGCCTGTAATCCCAGCTACTCAGGAAGCTGAGGCAGGAGAATCACTCGAACCTGGGAGACGGAGGTTACAGTGAGCCCAGATTGTGCCATTGCATTCCAACTTGGGCAGGAAGGAAGGGAAGGAAGGGAAAGAAGGACGGAGGGAGGGAAGGAAACAGAGTTCCTCAGATAGGTGTGGAGAGCCAAAAGTTAACTGTGACATCAATGATACACCCAGCTGACACCCCCTTCCTCCCTTCTCACCCTCCCTACCCCTCAAAGTTCTTTTATTCAACTAAAAGGTATAGGCTGCTCAACATCTGACCCTAGCCATAGGCCACAGATTAGCATCTATCAGTAGGTTTCAATGTAAAGTCACTTTGTGTGGTGTGAAATCTTTCAGTTCAACTAGACAGTCATTGTATCTCTGGGTAACATTCAATCCAACGATAGAAATGTTAAGTTGGTAAAGCCAAGTCACCCTATCTCTGAGGCCTGCCCACTTTAGCTCCCTACTCCTCCAAAAGGCAATAAATCCAATCCATCCCACCTTTTTCTTTGTTGAATTAAAAAAAAAAAAAAAAAAAAAGGCACCAGGCCATTTGGCCAAGACCTATGGCCTACCATAAACGCCAATTGGTATGGTCAAAAGGTGTCCATGGTGAACAAAAAAAAAAAAAAAAAAAAAAAGCTTGTAAACCTACAAAATAACACTAGGGGAGTGGGTCCATACAGGCAGGGTGGGGAGTAATCACAAACAGGGAGATTTCCATAGAATTAGCCTAGTCAATTAGCCTGAAAAATAAATGCTAGGCAAAAAGGTTCTGCCCCTCCCTGTACTCCACCCAAAGACCCCTGAACATGCCCAGTGGCAAGACAATTTAAAGGACTGATTAAGGACACAAGCTGTAGAGTCAAGCTGCCTGGCTTTAAATCCTGGCTCCACTCTTAACAAGGGCTACTTCTCTGTGACTCAATTTCCTCATCTGTAACTGGCAGATGACAAGTGTACCTACCTCATAGGACCATTGGGAGAATGAAATGAGATCACAGTTAAAGAGCTTAGCATGCTGGCTAGCACACAATAAATACTGAGTAAATACTATCCATGCTAGTATTTCTAATATTTCCAGGGCCCCTCAGTTCTTAACTGGAATCTCAACATACACTAATACAATTAGGCAGGGCCCTAATTGTGAGCCCACGAACATCCTTATGAAGAAGATGGCATCCTGATTTTACAGCTGAAAAATGGAGGTTTAGAGGGATTCAGAAGCTCAGCTAAACTTAGTCAATACGCGTAAGAGGTGGAGCAATAAAAGCTTTGCTCACATCCCAGCAAAGTTTGCATGATGTCATTTACCTCCAAAAGCTTAAAAGCATGCTTTAGCATTCTGGCATGACAACTTCTTGAATGAAGTTATGTTCTTATAAAATCCCTTAGCCTCCCCTACTAAATCAGCATAATTATCTACAGAATCAGAAATATTCTACAAATTCTGATAGACTATCAGAAACGCAAAATTCTTTTTCTTAACAGAATAACATAACAAATACGCAAGGTAAATCATCATGACCACTCTAATTAAACGGCTTTAATAGTTCAAAAGTACTGCAGACCCATAGTATATCAAGTTGTTTTTCTTTCAGGATTTGTAAGTTGATCCTGCAGAAGAATCCACACACTCCTATTGGCCTGTGTAACATCTCTCTTTCCGTATGTCTGGTAAGTGTGTAACAAAACTGACGACATAGTTACTCCAACTATACCTTCCCATCATCTCTTACACTATTTATTAAGATTTATTCACTTAATTGCCATAAAAGAAAATATAATCAAATTTAAACTGAGTATATCACGATGACTCTGATCTCACAGAATATCTTTTAAAACTCTAATACTGAGATCCAGAAATATTTGTAAGTTGTCAAATTTATGTCTCTAAATATTTAAGACTGAACAGCTGCAAGGAAAATTGGGAACATAAAAAGCCATCTTAGTCAATACTATTTGTCCCCATTCAATGAACTGTTTACCCAGTTTCCTGAAAACAGTGGATAGTAATTACTAATCCATTAAGAGTTTAAATTAAAGGACATGCTTGACCTGTGAAAAAATATACCAAATCATATAAATTTATTCCACTTTCTGTTTACTTTACCCAATCATTACATATTCTTGTAATGCTTTCTGGTAGACACAAATGAGATAATATAATAAAACATGTAAATTGAAGGAGAAGAGAACCTAGAATGTCTAAATATTTCAGGAATTTATTGCTATTTCAATAACCTGAACCACCAAGTATCAGAAAGCAGAAAGAATTACCACACAACTGTAAAAGTCGAATATTTATACAGGTGCCTTAAAAGCCGCAGTTGGGTGCACACCATCAGCACTGACATTTACTATCTGTTAAGTAGTTTTAAAGTGCAATGGCATAAGTCAAATACCTGGCTTGGAGCGAGAGGTTTACGACAACAACGTAGCATGTCTGGAGAGACCGTGAAGGTGTGATGCCTGTCATAACTTTCATCAGGCCGGCAACAGGCAGCCAGGCTGTGACAAGACCGAACCTCATCACAGGTGCCTTTTCTCATTTCAGGAGGGAAACCTAAGCCCATAGCTTCATGGATAATTGAAAAAGGATTGTTCCGTAAATTCATAATGTCGTTTATGACTTTCTTGTAATTGCTTTTTAGTAGCTTTCGAAAACAACATTTTTAGGGCAAAAGTAACTGAGAATACAAAGTACTTAGGTATTTCAGCTTCAAACTGAGAAAAGGGAAAATGTTAACTAGGAAAAGCGGCTAAAAAGGTTATAAAGCCCAAAGGCTACATTCAATAAAAAGTTCGAATTTTCAGAAATGACAAAAGTCTGAATGTTGAAGTTATCCCTGGTGGTATGTTATCTAAATTTACAATTAGGAATATCTCCTTAATGGATAATTTACAAATTTATAATTAGGAATGCCTCCTATTAATCTTATAATAATTCTAAGAAACTCCCTCCTAAGGGTAAAAAGAAACATGGGATACAGAAACATTTGTGAAACTTCAGCTCCTGAACTAATTTTAAAACAAACAAACAAACAAAGAAACCAGGCTAAGTAAGCTAAGTCAGAGTTCCTCAATACCCAACGTTCATTCCCCTACATCTTCCTTCCAAAGACAATACGCCTGTTCACGACCTGGGAGTGGGTTCAAGTTTTCAGGTGAAGACTAGCGCCAGGCAGTGAAACCTCCAAGCGCTTTTCTAAACTCTGAGGGGCAAAGCCAGTCACACCCACCAGCAGGGCCCGACGGGGATCGGGAGCCCCTTCCCAGCTCGGTACCTCCAGCCAGGCTGGGCGCCCCCGCCAAGAGCTCGCAGTCCAGCCTCGGGCGCCAAGGACGGCCCGAGGGATGCCACAGGTGGCCCGGGAGGCTCGCTCCCCTCTTGGCACTGAGGCCCCAGCCCACCCCCGCCGCCCCGAGGCCAAAGGTGCCCTGCAGCCTCAACGTGGGCACCTCGAAGCCGACGAGAGTTCCGAAGGGCTCAGATGGCCCCTGGGGTCCGATGGCCGGGTGTGCCGCGTCGGCCCGGGGCAGCGACTCCAGCTTCGCCTCTGGGCCAGGCGTGTCGCAGCGCCCCGGAGGGGCGTTGGGAAGCGGGTGGGCGCAGGGGTCCGGGCACCGGCGGCTCCGCACCCCTCCCGGGACCCCTCGGCGCACCGCGAGCCGGCGCCACCCCCGCCCCCCGCGCGGCCGAGTCTCCGGGACAACAGCCGCCGCGTCCCAGCGGGCCCGCGCCCCCGCGGCCGGCGCCCACCTGTCCCGGGGGTCGATCCAGCTGGTCCTCCTGGTGTTGTGGTCGATGTAGAAGACCTTGCCGTCGTAGTCCCTGGCCTCCTCCCAGCCCCGGGGCAGCGGCAGCTGACCGCTCCCGGCCCTCCTAGGCATGGTCGGCGGCCTCGCCGGCGAGCGGCGCCTCCATAGGGACCCGGCGCGGGACGCAGCGGGAACGCGGCTGCCCGGCCCGGCCGCCAACCAGCGACGCGGGCGCCGGCGAGGGGTTGAGGGGCGCGGGGCGCGGCGGAACCACGCGCGGGAGGCGCCTCAGGAAACGCTGCTCGCGGCCCCGCTGGGGATCAGTCCACCATGTCTGCGTCGGAGCCGGCGAGCGAACCCTCCTCCCCCTCGCCGCCGCTGCCTCCGCCTCTTCCTCCTCCTCCGCCCAGTCCCCCTGTGGCCGCCGAGGGTCGCGGCGCCCAGGCTGCCGGAGCCGCCGCCGTCTGGGCTCGGATCCGGGAAGCGGCGGCGCGGCCGCGGCGGCGGCGGGCCCCTCATTTGCATGCGATTAGCATGCGCCCGCCCGCCTCATCTGCATGCGCATTCCTCCCGCCGCATTCCTGCGCTTAACCCCGCCGCTGCCGGCGCCGCGGCTCCAGCCTGGGCGCACCGCCCGGGAGGGGCGGGGGAGGGGCCGCGGCTCCAGGTGGGAGGGAGGCGGCGAAGGAATGTGCGGCGGGCTCCCTCCCCTTGACCCCAGAGAGCTCCCCGGGCCAAACGCCTAGAGGTTTTCGAGTTTCTGGACTGGGAATATTGCAAGAAGTCTCCACAACCTTCTCAACCTCTCGTCTTCTAAGGAAACCACGAAACTTTCGAGAGGAAAGCGGGTGGGGTGGGAGCTGTCCTCGGAAGGAAAAACCCCCAACAAGCGGGGAGGGCACAAAGGCTCCCCACGCCGCGCCCCGAGCCCCTCCTGCACCCCTGGGCGGACCGGGGAGGTGGGAAAGCGCCAAGCCGCGGGGGCGCGTCGGTGGGTCCGGGACGGCGGGGCCTCTGCAGGGCGCCTGGCCCTCGGTGACCTCGGCAGAGACCGCGGGCCGCGCGGCGGAAAGCGGAGAAACTCCCGCCCAGCCCTGGAGCCGCCCAGGAGCCACCCGCCGCCCCGCCGCGTCGGGGCGCTCCAGACGCGAGGCCCCGGAGGCTCCCGGTCCCTGGCCTCCCCTGCTGAGTTTGGGGCGGTTGGCCGTGGGCGCGCCCCGAGTCCGGTGCCTTCCGTCCAGCCGCCCGCCCCGAGATGTCTCCCCCACCACAGCCCCGCCGTGGCCAACGAGTTGGAGCGGCCACTACGGAGAGACCCACGGCGGCGCCGGACGCCAGCCCTTCCTAGGCCCCTGCCCGGCCGAGGCGGCCCGGAACCTTCCCTGCTGCGCAGGCCTTTATTTATTCAGCAGCTACTACGTGCTGGCCGGCACTGCCGAGGGACCGGCCCCCGGCCCCAGGCGGGGCAATGCCGGGAGCACCGCCGGCGGGGCCTGGACCCGGAGCTTCACTGTCCCCGGCCCCTCAGTCTGAGGCGGCGCCCCCCAGGCCCAGATCTCCTCTTCAGCCGCTTTACACCGCCGCGCCCCATCATCTTCTTCTGGGCTACCGAGCAGTTCTTTTAAAATGACAACACCGAGGAAGGCCCCGAAGCCCCGTCTTGCACCTCGTGGTGTGAGTCGTTTAATCCTGCCCGCTAAAGCGTCAGGAGTTTCCCCCGTGTGCAGGACTCGGCGCTGGGCAGGGGCTCCCGCGGGGGTTGGACCGACCTCCGCCTCCCCTGCGGGTTCACAGGCCTGCGAGGGAGTCGCGTGGAGACTCGCGCTGTGCGGGGCTGGCCTGCGCTAGGGCAGCCGCTGCCCCGGGGTGAGGGCGGCTTTCGGCTCCCGAAGCCATCCCGTCGGGGCGTCTGCGGCTAATCTCTCAGGCGGAGAGGCTCAGACTTGGAACAGACTTCACGGAAGGGGTCCTACAAGGGGCAAGGGGGGTCGTGTTTGCCCTTAGAGCAGTCTGGGCGTGAAGTGGACACTTTAAACCACCAGAAACGCTGGAGAGCTTGGAGCGCCTGGGAAGGAGCCATCGGAGCGGCCGGAGGTGGGGAAGGAAGGCACCCACGGCGACTTGGCTCGCCTTGACCGCCTTTAGGGCTGCGGCTTGCGCGGCCGGGCTTCTGGAAGCCAGGCTCCGCGCTTGGTGAAGAGAAGCCCCCACCTTCGGATCTGGGTTCTGCCCCAGAGTCCATTAATCAGGAGGTGATCACACAAGTCCAGCTTCTCTAGTTCCCGGTGGAATGAGACGCCCTGGTGGGGCCTTAAGGTTGAGCGTTTGAATACTGCAAAAAAAAAAAAAAAAAAAAATAGGGCCTGTGTACAATTAATCTCTCACTATGAGCGAATGTACGTTGCTTTGGACTCTCTAAACTGGCCCAAATGCATGGCCAACACTTGCATTGTGGTGTACTAACAACATCATTCAGCACTAAACCAAACCACCCTGATTTAAACCTTGCTTCCTGGCTTACTTTTTCCCCCCAAACAATTTGAACACATTTATTATACTAAAATGTCTGTATCTTACTATTAAACAAAAAAAAGTAACACACTTTGCTGCTGCCGTAATTTCTTTTACTGAGAGGAACTGTTCTACAGTACTTGTAATTTCAAATGTGTTAAGCTTTCAGCTAGGTAGTTTTACCCAAATTCTAAAACCAGTGAGGAATCCGAAATAGCGTGCAGCATTAAATGAAGTTTATTGTTCCATAAATCTTCAGACTTCAAAAAGCAACCCTAAATAGACAAACAGAATTCTAAAACAATTAAGAGACTAGCTGGCTGCTTCTTCCCCACTGACTGGCACGGGAAACATTTGGTCATACAAAAGCTGTTAAAATGACAGAAAGGAGAGTTTGCCACTCTCTAGCCTTTTTTGTTCTGATCAAGTTTGAACTCTGCTGTTCTGAGTTCACACAATTTAGGTGGTAACCGACCTTCAGAGAATTCCTAATGGTCAAGTCAATGAAATTGCATTTATATTTGTATCTGTGAAAGGAAAAGAAATATGAAGATTGTCCCCATATTCGAGAGGGACACATTGGATTCGGGCTCCAGTTGATCCTTGGCAAAGAAAGATGGTGCAATCCGCTGTGCAGGACGCCATTTTGTCCTAGCCTGGAACCGAGTTCTAGCCGCTGAAGAGCCAATTCTGTGGCACTCAAAATGTTCTTTTCCTCTGGCTTCATGTTTTCTCCCCAGCGCTAAGTCTGTGGGGATAAGCCTCGGTAAGCAAAGCTGCCACTGTCAATATCCTCATCTTGAGTGGCAGGAAAATTAGTACTATCAAAATTGGGAGTAGGCAGTGAAAATTATTTTAAAAGATAATTTTGTTATCTACAAATTTAAAATATATCAGGTGGCCCAGCTGCGATGGTTCAAGCCTATAATCCCAGCACTTTGTGAGGCCAAGGCGGGCAGATCACCTAAGGTTAGGGGTTGGAGACCAGCCTGGCCAACATGGCGAAATCCCGTCTATAGTAAAAATACAAAAATTAGCCGGGTGTGGTGGCAGGTACCTGTAGTCCCAGCTACACAGGAGGCTGAAGCAGGAAAATCACTCGAACCTGGGAGGTGGCGATTGCAGTGGGCAGGGATTACGCCACTGCACTGCAGCCTGGGCAACAGAGCAAGACTTCATCTCAAAAAAACAAAATTAAAATAAAAAATAAAATTAAATATGTCAGGAACACCTGTAGTCCTAGCTGCTTAGGAGGCTGAGGCAAGATCACTTGAGGCCAGGAATTCAAGGCACTATGATCGTGCCTTTGAATAGCCACCACACCCCAGCCTGGGCAACATAAGAAGACCCTATCTCTTAAAAAAAAAAAATGTGTGTGTGTGTTATTAAATGGGAATATGTAAAGACACACACACACACACACACACACACACACACACACATACTTAATCCAGCAATCCCAGTACAATTATTTTCCTATGACATTAAAGTTGCTCAAGATATGCAAGGATATTCACTGCAGCATGTTTGATAATAACAAAACTAGAAAAACCACCAGTAGCCATCAGTAATGGACTAATTAAATGAATTATGAATTCATTTAATTCATCTAATATCCATAGTTAGCAAGCATTTTAAAAGCATTAGATAAACATATATGTGCTGGTAAGGAAAGATCTCCAGGATAAGTTAAGTGAAAAAAGCAAGGTGCAAAAAGACACTGGGCTGGCTAAGTTCAGTGGAGTTACAATCCAGTTCTGGAGATGGGGCCAATCGTAAAATGTAAAGAACACAGCTTCCTGTACACTTTCTTCATGCCAAAGGAAGAACACAGATCGTAAAGGAAGGAAGTTCTTATAGAGGATTAGCGCTGTCAGGGAGATCCATCAAAGACGTATCATGAGGTAAATAATCATAAAGGAAAAGGGATAGGGAGAGATGAGCATAGACTCGAGGCTAAAACGGACAGGCGTGGTGGGGCATGTTTGAGGAAAGAAATGGGTGTGCAAAGTTCAAAGATGAAGCTGGCCTGAAACAGCCCAAGACTGGCTGGAGCCATCCAGTTAGGAGGCTGTTGTGATGGTATAGGTATGAGACAGATAAGGTCTGGATTAGAAATAAAGCAACGAGGATGAAAAGAGGTGGTTTGGCAAGAATTTGCAGCTGATTAGATTAGGAAGGAGAGAGGCAAATAGACTAGAAGCAGGAATCTGAGGCAATTCCAAGGTTTTAGACCAAAGAGCTGGAAAAAATGAGGAAGTCCAAAGGGGGATCTGATATGCAGTTTGATTTTAGAAATTAGAGAGATACCCAGCAGAAAGTTAAAGGTCAAGACTAAAGCTCGAAGCAAAAGGTCAGGACTGCAAATAAATGGCTGAATGTCTACCCTAAAAGTCTGTAGGGAACTGAATATTCAGGACTGAATCTTGGGAAGGAAACATCAGTGCAAGTCAAACAGAATTAAGTAACCCATCTATAATCCTATTTTTGGCCTTCCATAATTTGGTATAATTTTATTTCTTTGTACAATGTGGTCTCCATTCTCAGCTATGTGTGTAAGAGTTAGTTGTTAGTGTGTAAATCGTCTCTGAATGAATTATTGTTATAACCTTTATTGTTATGCTAGAGAATCAGCTCTGTGTAAGACAAGATGAACTGGTTTTCAGTACTTTAATAACTCTTGTTTCTTCAAGGAGATCAGGGATTATACAGACTTCAAATTCTAAATAAAAACAATGTTCTTTATTTCTTAATCAAACTGTCGGCCTTTTTTTTTTCTTGGCAACTGGGTAAAACAAATATCTCTCATTATTGTGATTAGGAAACCATAAGGCACAATTCCTAAATGTTACTGTCTGGACAGTTCTTAAGAAGAAAGGCATGTGATCTTTAAGAATTACCAGTGCTGGCCGGGTGCAGTGGCTCACAGCCGTAACCCAGCACTTTGGGAGGCCAAGGCAGATGGATCATTTGAGGTCAGGAGTTTGAGACTATCCTGGCCAACATAGTGAAACCCCGTCTCTACCAAAAATAAAAAAAATAGCCAGGTGTGCTGGCATATGCCTATGATCCCAGCTATTCAGGAGGCTGAGGCAGGAGAATCCCTTGAGCCTGGGAGGCGGATGTTGTGGTAAGCTGAGAACATGCCATTGCACTCCAGTTTGGGTGTAAATAAAAATTAAATTAAATTTAAAATTCCCAGTGCTAGGTCAAACCAGAATCCTCAGTTACCATAACCACTTCCCCTGCAGTTAATGATTACACCAACACCTTAGGCAAAAAGTCATTTCCATTTATTAATAAGAAACATCAAACAGATTCCGTTTCACCTTATTCATTGCAGATGGGAGACTAACATTGGGCAAATTCTATGATTGCTAAAAAAGAAATAGTGAACACTTAAAATCTGTTTCATTAGTGAAAAGAAGCAGATGCTCAAATACCACACTTTTGTACATATAAGGGTCTCAGAGGGCACCTCTTGTTTTCTCTGTAGAGGAGAGTTTTAGGGTAATTCATGCATAGTCTTTTATTATTATTATTTTAAATTATATAAAAAATAGAGCTGGGGATCTTACTATGTTGCCCAGGCTGGTCTCGAACTTCTTGCCTCAAGCAATCCTCCTGCCTCAGCCTTCCAAAGTGCTGGGATAACAGGCATGAGCCACTGCACCTGGCTTACATTATTTCTTATGTAACAGAATAATATGAGGTTCTATTTTTCTTTCACTGTCTTTAATTTGCAACTTTTTTTTTTCTGTTTCAACTTTATAGTCTGTGAAAAATACCTTCTTTAAAAGATAGGATTCAGCCGGGCATGGTGGCTCATGCCTGTAATCCCAGCATTTTGGAAGGCCAAGGTGGGCAGATCACTTGAGTTCACGAGTTCAAGTCCAGCCTGGGAAAGATGGTGAAATCTCCTCTCTACTAAAAATACAAAAATTAGCCAGGCGTGGTGGTTCACACCTGTATTCTCAGCTACTCAGGTAGCTGAGGTGGGAGGATGGCTTGAGTCCAGAAAGTGGGGGTTACAATGAGCCAAGATTGCACCATTGCACTCTGGCCTAGAAGACAGAGCCAGATTTTGTCTCAAAAAAAAAAAAAACCAAAAACAAAAAAACCACAGGATTGTGTTCCCTTATCCTTGTCTTTTAGAAACAGCTGTCCAGGTATGGTGGCTCATGCCTGTAATCCCAGCACTTTGGGAGGCCGAGGCAGAAGGATCACGAGATCAGGATATCGAGACCATCCTGGCTAACATGGTGAAACTCCGTCTCTACTAAAAATACAAAAAATTAGCCGGGTGTGATGATAGGCACCTGTAGTCCCAGCTACTCACACCTACTGAAAATGGAAAACTAGCCAGGTGTGGTGGTGCAAGCCTATAATCCCAGCTACTTGGGAGGCTGAGGCAGGGGAATTGCTTGAACCCAGGAGGTGGAGGTTGCAGTGAGTCGAGTTCAAGCCATGCACTCCAGCCTGCACGACAAGAGCAAAACTCTGTCTAAATCAATAGATAGATAGATAGATAATAGTTAAATAAAATAAAATTAGCCGGTGTGGTGGTGTGCACCTGTAGCACCAGGTACTTAGGAGGCCGAGGCAGTAGGATCACTTGAGCCTGGGAGGTTGAGGCTACAGTGAGCCATGATCACACCACTACACTCCAGCCTGAGTGACAAAGCAAGACCTTGTCTTAATAAAAGAAAAAGTAAAAAAAAAAGAAAAGAAATTTAACTTAATATAATCTCCCAAATTTATCTGGGGATAGTCCAATCGAATGGGGAGAAAGAAGATGCATGTAATAAAACATGTTCAAAGAAATATATCTTGCCAATTAATATATGGAAAGGTAATCAACATTATTAGTAACCAATAGAATGCAAATTAAAACCATAGCAAGGTACCATACACAGTCTCTAGATTGGCAAAAAGTAAACAGTTGGCTGAGTGTGGTGGCTCACGCCTGTAATCCCAGCACTTTGGGAGGCC